ATTGTATGGTTTTGAGGCGCTGAGAATCTCATGTGTAGCGTGAGGTCGTTCTGAGTATTCTTGCTTGTGAACAGATAAGCTCGCATTTCTGCTTTAGGAAAGGTACGTTGGTGCTGCTTCGTAATGTCAAGCTACCCGCGCGCACCTGCATGTGTTCTTATCCATGCAGGAGTCTGCGCGCTCGTCCAATGCTGCATTTGTATTGTACTTGCGTGCATGCTGGGATCATTTTTTTATTGGTTGTCCACTTTTTTGTAAGGTGGTTTCCAAACATTTCGTGTAATCGGGGAATTCCTTCAAGAAGCTTTTTTAACGGGTCAAAAGGGATAGTCCCATCATTTTTTTTATTACTACCAGAAACCCTTACGTTTTTTGCACAATATTTTGCTCAATATTTCAATCCGATCATCATGGTCAAGCTTGCGAATCCGCGTCTACATACAGCCATATTCTTGAAATTTGGGGCTGACATGTACAGTTCGTTCCATGTCCTTGCTTAAAGATAGGACAACTTACTGCTCTTCAAGGCAAACCAGATTTCCCATATATATATATATATATATATATATATATGTGTGTGTGTGTGTGTGTGTGTGTGTGTGTGTGTGTGTGTGTGTGTGTGTGTGACGCTATGAAGAATGGGCGACGTGGCCTGGCGCATACCCCATGTTTATTGCATTCTGATCTTCTTCCTTCTCTGCCTCTACTACTAACTCCTAACCATCGCTACCTTCTTACGTTACAGGATTCCCCCTCCCCCGAAAAAAGTCGCGTCAGACGAACATAAATGAAAACAAAACATGCACGGCTTAGAACTGAACACTGTCACAAAGAGAAGATCATTCCAAGTCCGACGAAGTTTCCGTTAACACACTATAGCTTCACAGGAGAGGACAGCAATCCGGGGTATCAAGTACAGCTCTGGAGGGCGAGGCTGGCTGTTGCGCTCTGGACAACATGAGCATGCTTTGAGCGTGAAATCAGATGGAAACACAGCCGGTATTCTTGCGATGAATGAACGAGGTGTGATGGCCTTGAAGCATTGGCTGGATGATTTGCGCAGGTGTCGTGCTATTTGTCTTGATTGGAACCCATGCGTCGCCACCCGTTTGCGTGCTTGTCGACCGAGGCTGGTGCGGTGATTTCTGCGTCCTTGCGGAATACAGGGTATGGTTTGGCGCCTTTCTCGACGTTGTATGTCATATTGCCTGAGTCTTGATCTCGACTGGAGAAAGCTTACTCGACGTTCCTTGGGAAAATATCCTGGATTCGATGCTTGCTTTGTTTCAAGCGAGAAATCTTGAATATGTCGTTGGTTTGGTTGACACGTTTGTAAACGGCTTTCCATAAACCACGTGTGTTCTTCCGAAGATGATTCCATTCGTCGTCGTCCTTGTTCGTATAGCCCTTGGAATCTCTGTTGTTCTTGGACCTGCTGGCATTGATGATGTTGTTGCAAAAAGACCTGAGGTGGCAGCCCTTCTTCACCATGACACTGACTTTCTGGGCAATTGAATGAGGTGTCGAGTGGGCAGGTAGTAGTCTCTAGGCTGTTGTGCTGCATTTCGGGTAATGAAGGTAATGCTTCAGAGTTGATAGATACATCATCAGGAGCTTCTTCTTCGCTGTTCGCTGCGAGTGGTTCTTGCGCCTGAATCTGGAAGGTAGGTCCAGGGCTTGGCTGAGTATTCTTTGAGCTCCGCAGCTCTATCCCAACCATTGTGAGCGTGCTAGATGTGAGGTGGGCGTTGTGAGCGACGAAAGAGCCAAGTGACGGAAAACCAGGAGGTAGCCCAATTGTGCTACATGGAAAATAAGCTGATCCGATGTGTGGAGACTGATTTTCACTCTTAGAGTCGTCATGGCGTTGTTCGGCATTTTGCTCATGTGTCAGCTGGTCTACCATGAACAAGGCGTCCATATGACACGAATAGTGATCGTTAGGAGCCTTTGAAGAGCTGCGTCGTAGAAAACCAGGTGGTGGACCATGTATGCGAGACGAAGCATGAAAGGCATCAGTAGGGTGAGCGACGTCTCGTGTCGTATGTTGGAGCGAGGACTTTGCAAATTCCGACTTTCCTGCAGAGGGGAGGCGCGCTTGATGGTTGGGTTTTTCCCAGAATACGCATGGTCTTCCGTAAGTAAACCCATGTGCGACTTTGTCTTGTGGCAGTTGTCGATTCACGTTGGGCTTTCGAATGTTCGATGATTGCTTAGGGAATCGACGATATTGTCGGGTTTTCTTGAGATGGTTGGCAATAAGTAGGTCTTGGTCACAGTCGCTAAAACGAGTGATCATTTCTTCTTTTATCTTTTGCCAAGATTCGTCATTTTCAAAGATGTGGATGAGGTAAAACTTAAATGCCTCACCGGAGATGTAGTCAGTGAAGTTGATGATCATCTCCCGTTCCGACCAGGATGCAGCGGCGGCGAGAACCTCGAATAGGTTGAACCAGTCCTGTACGGGTCCGTCGTCCGCTGATCCGGTGTACTTGGGGATGTCGAGGCCAGCCGATGGTTCTGTCATGGGGCTGGTCGTTGTCCTTCTAGGCGATGATTCGGTAGTCAATGTATAATCAGGGTGTCTTCTGGGGAACTGCGTCGATGATGAGTGACTAATGAAGGGGCAGGCAGGTCTCCATCCTGTCGACTCGAGTGACGCTATGAAGAATGGGCGACGTGGCCTGGCGCATACCCCATGTTTATTGCATTCTGCTCTTCTTCCTTCTCTGCCTCTACTACTAACTCCTAACCATCGCTACCTTTTTACGTTACATATATATATATATATATATATGCACTTCATTTTCTGTGCTCATTTGGCTGTATAAATTTCTTTGTTGCACATTTGCTTTATGGTTGTACTTAAATGAAACAATCATTTTTCATTTGTGCACGCGCTGAATTTTTTTTTGAAGAGAGAATATTTTTACTTCTGTGTTGCTATATAAGCAATTATATATTTTTCCGCACAACAAATTATATGCTCGCAATTTTCATTTGGGACAAAAATACAATTTACTTAATCTTTGTGATCTAAATCTTTGTTTCGGCACTTACTTTTGTTACAGGCTGTGTTAGACATCTTACGTAAGGAAACCTCTTCTAAAAAGTTATTGGTGGTCTGGAAAATACTTTTCTTTCTGACTTCTCCAGTGCGCCTCCATTATCACGAGAATTCGCACGCTCACTGCAACAAAGCAGTAGCCCGTACTCCCCCCCCCCCCTCCCGCCCGATTTTTTTTTATATTCCATGTCATACAGACCCCAAAATCGCACTACACCACATTTGTACATATGCCTGCTCGGCCCCCGTGTCATATGAAGGGGTGCCCCACCCACCCCCTTTTCCTAAAAAAATTCTGCTTACGCTCCTGTTATCAGCTGCGATTTGAGAAAAGACGTCCTGTGCTCTAGCGGAGCAAGCAAAGCAAGAATAAGAAAATGAAATTTATTTTCTCGTTGCCCTTCCTTAGGCGACTCACGCTGAAGACCCTGGTGCAGATGATACTCTGAAACGATAATAAACCTACAACAAAGGTCAAAGGTATCTCTCTGTCCCTGAGCCAATGAGCAAGTCATTCTGTCCACTCATCTTCCCAAAATGTGAGCCCAAACTAATGTGCGCACCCAGAAGGCGCAACTCAAGACGATCGTTATTCAATCTTAAACTTCTCTCGGATGGGATACCAGAGAATATGCAGACAGGACCGGACAGACGCAGTCTGACAACTGATCTATTCAAGTCGCATACTCTTGCCTCCTGAAACAATGTGGTTGTAAGTGTTTTTCGTGCATGCGCATTGCTCCAGTAGGCAAGAACGTGTGATTTTAATCAATCGGCTGTTGGTGTTCGTTCGCCCTGCCTGCATCTTCTCTGGTGTCTTGTTCTATTCAGCCCCACAAGACGATGAGTGGGCGCCACTACGTAGAACAAATACTTTGTCGAGCTACCTTGACGGGCATCAGCAGTGGTGTGAAGGTTGACCACTTGCCGAGCTCTTAATGTTGCTGGAAAACTTGTGCACGCAGTGCAATTTACGCACACGTGCTCTCTCGTTTGCCAACTCCGAGCAGCGCTGTGAATACTAAAACTACTTAGGCAAAAACAAGAGCTGGCTGTGCGTTTTTAGAAAGAATTCAAAAAGAATACTCGCTAGTTGTATGACAATAATCGTTCTATGTAACTTCCATCTTGTCGACAGCGCTCAAAAGTGAGTAAGGGACTGTGTGTCTTTCTTAATCTGAATATCTCTACGGCGCTACAGCGCCTAGCAACGTTGGTTTTTCAATAAACGTGCTTGATTTCACCCCCAGCCATCTGGAATTTGAGCATCGGTGAGAGTTTTATGAAACACTAATGAAAAACAAGCATGAAACTGATATAAAAAGGAGGTAATGGCTAGAGCTAGAAGTTGAGTGGGTACACATAATATTGCAGTGAAATTGTTGGTAAAATAAGAATAAATTAACAGCCAGGATAAATATTTGAATGAGTTGACTTCAATCATTGTAGCATTATGCAAAGCAGACCTCAACCTCGCGCTTCTTTTCATGTGGCCTCTTATGCGGCGCGCTATGTGCCCAGCTTAAGTTGATTGAAAAAGCACGCTGTTTTGTTGTCCGTGTCAAAATGGAACTTGCCCTCAACCAAACAGTTTTTTTTTTAGTTTACACGAATGTCTACTCAGGTCCCAAAGCTTCACCCAACCATATTCGGGGCTAGACCCATGAGAGACGCTTACATGAAACCTTAAGGTTGCCTAGGGTATTTTTTATAATTTAAGCAACCAAGAGATTTTGCTGAATTGCATGGAATTAACGGCATGAGTCATAAAAAGTAGAAGGTTATATGTTTCGAACATACTACTGCACCTATACCTGCCCACACTTCGCCATGAAGAGTAAGTTTCATACCAGAGCTTACAATGTTCTTTCGCCGTTCCCCGTTGCCTTTGAAAACGCTTCTATAGGGGAAAAAATCCACACTGAAACACTCGTTTAAAACAGCAAAAATCAAACGTGTTTTATTGAACAAGAGGAAAACGTAATGAACTGTAATGTGAAACATTATGTACAAGTGTCCACTCGAGGATTCGCGATGGTTGATGTGCCATTCGTTACCTGCAATGAAAATAACAAAATATAAATGTATAATAAAGCATATTAAATCACGTTAGTCATCAAACTTTATTGGTTATGGCTCTGTTTTTACTGGTTCTAATAATAATGGCGCAAAAATACTGTGTCTGTCTTGATGTGTCCGGGATGATGTGTTTATGGTGGCATGTGTTTAGTGGTGTGTCAAAATTAAGTTGCAGCAGGAACTGCCTTAACAGTTTACGTATCTTTCCTGTGGTAGTCATGTAAGATAACGCTTTAGTGTCTCGATTAAAGAACATCTCGTCAAGCAGATTTGTTCAATGAAAGCGGCGACTTCTTTTATATTTGAAATGTTCATTTTCATTGTGTGGGCGCACAACCACGTGCTTTCATAATATTTTAAAATTCTGTTTTTACATGACACCCCCCAAGACAGTGAAAGTGCCTAGAGTTTTGAAAAAAATTGTAAAATATTACATGTTATAAGCGCAGCCTTCATGTGATATGCGATATTTAAAACTGTTTATCCTACGCGTTTCTTCAGCTTCACCCAACTTTGACTTAGGCTATCACATGCAAAAATAAAGCATACGCGAAACTAAGTCGTACTCAGTTTTTACTCAGAGCCGTATTCTTATACAGAAAACGTAAATGAGAAGGCCAAAGTTTCACTCACTGAGTGGGAGATTTCATATACTGATGGAATCAGTAAAAAGCTGACTTTATCAAATTTGGAACTCAAGTAATCTCAAGTATATGAGAGACATTATTTACAAGTACCGGCACCACGCTACTCAGTGGAGTCTAATCAAAAGCCTCACTCACCGATAACGTAGGTACCAGTGAAAAGAGACAAGCTGTAGAACCCTACGTGAATCTCGCACAAGTAGAACTTCAAAGACGAACGAGCATACATTATATGTAGAAGTTGAAGAATGACTGTGCGTGAGTGTTTCAACTGCCTGCTCATTGTTCCTGCCCGTTCACGTGTCCTTAGTTTAGATATTCAAACCTGAGGGGTCGTCTAATCATGGGGCTGCCGTCACATGAACGCGGGAGCGTGCTGGTAGCACCTAATAGTCCGAGTACACACTCACGCTGAGGAATGGTCGGGAGGGCCAGCTCCCGTAGTGTCAGTGCCATCCATGGGCCAAGCTGACGGGCAGGCCAACGGGAATGCCATACGAGCTCTGAGCCAACTTGTAGGTCTTGAGGGAGCCACCGCCGAAGCCGCCGCCATGGCCAAGCAGGAAGGCTCCGCCTCTGCCGCCGCCGCCACCACCATGGCCATGGCCAAGCACCAGATTGCCACTGTACACTGGCAGACTGACCGCACCCAGTAGACCTGGCGAACAAAGAAAGGGAGCCGGAAGAATCGCGTGCCTGTAAAACTCTCGCCTTGCAGCGGAGTCGCCTCACAGCGTTCGTCATCCATCTGGCCATGCGCGGCCAGAGCAGCTGTTATAACGCGCATTTGGTCTTATCGAGGATAGGAGGAGGCCCCTAGTCGATCGTGTGAAAAAGTGGCATGTTTTCGTACTCTGACCAGATATTTGTTCTGGATAACCTTCCTACCACTCTCTTCGGACGGAATGCTTTCTCATTTCCCCTTGTCTACCGTTCAAGATGGAAATTATTAGGCTGATTTCACATAGCTTTTCGTTCGTAAATGCTTCCACAGGCTTAGACTCTTTGCAAATGCTAATAGCGACAACAGGACTGACTGATATGTTCTCGTAGAAACAGCTAAGAGCTCTTTGTGAATACCGCGGCTAGCTGAGACCATGTTTACAAAAGCAGTTGCTTTATAATTTTTCGGAAGTGAAACTTCTAGCCAATCTTCATGTTGGACATAACAGGGAAGGCGACCCGCCAGAAATGAAGAGCATATTTTTAATGAACCATTTCTGAAATGCCTAATTCACAAAGCTTTTTTTTGTATAGGTAATAGTTCTTCGACAATGGCCAGACACTGTCGACAATGGCACGTGAACATCTTTTTTTTTGCTCACTATTGTAGCGCTCATTTATCTCTCTCTCTCTCTTTGCGAATACGAGCCACGAGACTACTTTTCTAGCATTTCCCTTTTCATTCTTTTTGCCCTTCGTCTTTGGCTCAACCACGGTTCGGAGGCCGCAGAGTCACCATTACTGTTAGGATTGGCCACCCAGCGTGACTGATATTATTAACAGCCTGGAGAAAATGTAATCTTAAAAATGCTGAACGAGCCTTCTTTGCTGACTGCATCGACTGCTCAGCGTCGATTTTACCGAGATGCGTGTTCAAATTACCTGATGTAGAGTACGCGCTACCGCTATTCAGAGCCGCCCGTTGTGTCATTCACTCATGTGTATCAACGTTACCTTTACGACAATGTTGCCTTCATCAACGTTGTCTTGATTACACGGACGTTTAATTTTGCTTGCAGTAAGATTCTGTTTTCAAGTTTATGGGCATCATCGTGGGTTAAGTGAAGGGTGTCTTTCTGAATGAAAGGGTGTGCTCAAGCTTCACGCAACTGGACGGGGTGACCTCTCTCTCTCTCTCTCTCTTGGGGGATCCACTTCCTCCTCGATTTACCCAGCCCATGTGGGCTCGTACCTTTGCCCCCTCCACCACCACCTCTGGGCAGGCCATAGTGTCCGCTGAACCTCAGCAGCTGCTCAAAAACGTTGCCCGCGTATCCGAGGTAGTGACCAGAGTGGCCAATGCTCGGGAGTGCAGGCTTGGATGCAGCGATGAGTATGGGCGTTGTCTTGGTGATGACCGGAGTCGCGACAGCCACGGCGCCTCCCCCGTAACCGCCGCCGCCGGCTTCGATACGGACCAGGGCACCCAGAAGGCACACGGCAGCCAGTGCCTGCAGAAAGTAGTAGTGGTTGTATTTTCAAGCCAGCAGCAACAGTATGAAGTAGAAACAATGGAGTATGTAAACAGTACTGGTTACTGTTGTCTTATGTTTTATTCAGATTACGACTCATAACCATTTGATTCCTTTCATTTTTTTTATCGTGGACGAAGAATGACTTCAGTTCTGGTTTCTGGCTCAAGCGTCTCGCGACAGCTCAGAAAGAATATGCACTTTTTTCTGGTGGTTTTATTTATTTATTTATTTATTTGTGTATTTATTAGGGCGCAATTCTTAAATACCTCGTCAAACGCGAGGACTGAGTAGCATCCCGTGTCGGCGGCGTCAACAAGAGGAATGAAAAAAATCATCATCAGGAGATGACCTCACCCCCATGTGACGTCCTCACAACATCAAAGATCGCCAACATTTGTGGGGTCACTAAGGCATCATGATGACGTCATAACATGGCACTGTATCTTGCCCATTGGTGATCAATCACAGAGTCACGCAGGCAGTGAAAAACCAGGTGAGGTGCCTCCATTCCTGGAGGCAGTGGAAAACCACGTTAAAGCTTTTTTGGTGGGGGGGGGGGGGGGCACTTTTCATCATGGGAAGTGCAGCTCATCGTGTTATTGTCCGAAAGAACAAAGAAAGAATCAAGAGAAAGAAGAAAAGAGAACCAATTTATCCTAACTAATCAATCACATAGCAATCACCTGACCAGGTAAACATTGCTTGAAAAAATTAGCAGATCCCAAGTACCTTGGGAATCGTTTATATGTGAAGCACGAGTGAGGAAGGCTGATATGTCATTTAAAATCAACACGACGATTATCATGTTTAGACGTGAATAGACGACCTTCGTCGTGCATTTACGTCACGTCATTACCAATTTTCATATATGTGAGGCTAGCGAAACGGCCGCAAGCATGCTATGAGTGTAGCATGTAGTCATGTTTTACTTGACATGTATGTCATGATTATCATATTTAGACGTATCATTTACATTCGTCGTCTATTCACGTCATGTGATACCAAATTTGGTATATGTTGAGCTAGCGAAACAGGCACGAGCACGCTATCAGCGTAGCATGTAGTCATGTTTGACATGACACGCGTACCATGATTATCCCGTTTGCAAGTCTCATTTACCTTCGCGGTGCATTCACATCACGTAATACCAAATTTAATATATGTGAAGCTAGCAAAACGGCCGGGAGCACATAATAAGCGTGGCATGTAGTCATGTTCTTACATAACACGCATCTCATGATTATCATGTTTGCACCTGTGACATACCATCGTCATCTATTCACGTGCCATAATACCAAATTTGGTATATGTAAAGCTTGCGAGACGACTGCGAGAGCACCATGAGTGTGGTGTGTAGTCATGACTTATGTGAAATGCATGTCATGGTTTCCACGTTAAGGTCTTTCACTTGTATTCGTCATGCAGTGATGCCATACCATACCAGTTTTGCAGTATGTCTTGGTAAAAGAATCCATCGCAAGAGCATGAAATGTAAATCTTGACATTCATGACATACACATCGTAATTTTCATGTTATGACTACTCACCCATACTCGTCATACAGTCATGTTATGTCATATCAATTTTGGCATCGATACCATTATCGAAGCGACCAGAAGAGCTAAATGTGGTAGGCGGGTAGGTATGAAGGTAGGTAGGTAGGTAGGTAGGTAGGTAGGTAGGTAGGTAGGTAGGTAGGTAGGTAGGTAGGTAGGTAGGTAGGTAAATAGATAGATAGATAGATAGATAGATAGATAGATAGATACGCTCAATGTAGCCGAAGGTGTTTTTTTTCACATTAAAGAAAATAAAACACCTGAGCAATGATTTCCTTAAGTGAAGCCATTACATTAGTTTGGCAATCAGTTGCACCACCACGCAACACACATTCATGTCATAGCAATGGAGATAGTCATTATAATAGTTCGAGGCGTTCTTCTGCTTTTCGTATTGAATGGCCACGTAAACCGAATTGATAAGCGGTAAATTATTAGTTCAGTTCTTCTGACTGCGCACGCGGTCTTGCGAACCATGGCTCGCAGTACAACTGCCTTTTGACAAAGAAGGGTGAACGTAAAATGATGCTCCGCCACACAGTCCGATAAATTCCTTGCTCCGGCTGCTGTACTACACGTGCGTTGAATCAGTATTTGTGCATAGCGGCAATCGTCATGTACTTGTGGGAAGCAAGACGGCCGATTAATGATACAGCATTGTTGCAGCCGTTATTGTTGTTGCGGACGACAGATGAGATCGTAGATGTCCAGTGTTGAGCGGACACCTAAACTTTTCTGGGGTTAGGTAAGAGTAGACGAAGACGTGGAGAAGCAAAGGGCACGCAGCCCCCTCCCCCCTCTCTATCAAGTCTATATGAGGCCCTTTTCGAGATGAGAAAACTCGGACAGGTAGACAAACACGAAGCCATAGTCCCCGTTAAAAAATTGATTGAGAAAGGGCAATAGGCTTTATAATGAATTCGAGAGAGACTTGCTTAGTTTTATACCTGCAGGATTGTAATCGAGATGGGTATAATGAAAGCTGATATAACATGCACTGTTCGCCCGAGAGACACTTTACGTAAACAAACAAAAAAACACCAAAGCACTAAACAAATATAGCACCTCAATGAGACCGGAAAGCTTCGAAGAGCCTTCTATGTAGGACATGCACTGGCACAGATAATCCACGAAAAAATAACGCCACTTAGCTGAAAAGATATCTAGCTTTGGTGAGTGTTCAGCTCAACCAATTTATCTGCAAGCGAAGGTTAAAGCTGCGTCTTTCTTCACAGCTTCACTGAAGCTCCCCCAAAGTAGTGACGCATATATACGGTACCCCCAACACAGCCATGAGAGATGCGGCGGTGTTGGCTGTGTTGGTACCCCCAACACAGCCAACACTGCTGCAGAGCCATCCGTGCAGGTGTGACGACGTCCTCCTCAGCAGCATATGGATGTACGTTGCAGATCGAAATAATTCAATTCCAGGAAGAGTTATACCCTACCTGGTGCATTCCAAGTGATAAACCAGGCTTCCAATGGGGCAAATGCAGGCAGACCTCTTGTAGTTACGTGGGAGCATGTCCGTGGCCTCCGACATGTATGTGGCAACAAAAGACTTTTCAGTAACAACATAGCGCCACACGAGCGCCATATAACACCTGCCTTTGAAAAATTACTAGTGGCAGATGTTTGCCAGTCATTGATGTGTTCTGCTTGAGACCAATAATAAGTTCACGATGGATCCTAACCAACTGGCCCAACTTACCGTCTTACTACAATAATAACAATAATAATAATAATAATAATAATAATAATAATAATAATAATAATAATAATAATAATAATAATAATAATAATAATAATAATAATAATAATAATAATAACATGTATAATAATGAGGCCTTTTACGTCCTAAAAACACTATATGATGAGAGACGCCGTAATGGAGGGCTCCGGAAATTTTGACCACATGGGTTTTTTTAACGTGGTCCTAAATCTAAGCACAGTGGCCTCAGACTTTTTCACCTGCATCCTAAATGCAGCTGTCGCAGCCCTTTTTGAGACCAAGACATATCCCGGTTATTTCCGACTACGTTCATCGCAATATATTTTTGTTGCTTCAGTGGGCTCCTTGGTGACATTAGAATTCCTTACTAGTAACTTTCGCATTTGTTGCGGATGCTCCGCCCACTACGGTGGTTGCATTCATTAGAGGCCGAGTCACAGCAGCTGTAATTATAACACAATGGAAGCCGTTATTTGCATGCATTCTAATTCTTCAGTGTTAGGTTTGTGCATGGGCCCATAATGCCACTTGCATGCTTCATTAGATGCGTTATCAGTGATGTATGAGATGATTTATATGATCACATCTTTATTTAAGGCTTGTAAGATCGAGCACGTTTTGTAGAATAAATAAGTTCTGAGGTCATACCAAGTTTCAATAATGGCCATCAAAGAGAAAATATTAAATGGAGCACCAACCAACCAATTGAAGATCCGTATACTTTTGGAGATATGAAGTTCCGCAATTGATGAAAAATTCGCCTGCTCCGGTGTCCCTAAATTTTTAGCCCCGCCCCAACAACTTTTACGAAAGACTTGGTCCCAGCTCCATTAACGCGGAGTAAGGGTGCGCCCGCGAGTTGCTTCTCGCGTCACCTTTCTTGTATAGGAACGGCCGTCCTCACGTTCTGTGTACTATATATAGCCATCTTTTAGGCTAAAATATCTGCATGTCCTCATTAGTTGGCGGTATGGTCTCTGTATATTTATTCCTGATATTAGTGAAATAATCAAGTAAAGGAAGTGTTTTCTTCAGGATCTTTATTTAATTGCCATTTATGACCTAGGCAATGCAAGGGCTCTCGCTGCAACGTTTCGTCAAACGCAATTAAGTACATTTTATTCTCTTGACTGCAGATTTCACCCGGCGCTGTACATCAATGTACAGTGGCCGCCATAACCAACAGGCAGCTACGCACTGCGAAGAAAAGTGCATAGGTGTCAGTTTTATGAATGCTATTGATTGATATGTGGATTTTGACGTCCCAAAACCTCCGTATGGTTATGAGAGATGCCGTAGTGGAGGGCTCCGGAAATTTCGTCCCCTTGGGGTTCTATAACGTGCACCCAAACCTGAGCACAGCGGCCTACAGCATTTTCGCATCCATCGAAAATGCAGCCGGAACAGCCGGGGTTCGATCCCGTGACCTGCGGGTCCGCAGCCGAATACCTTAGCCACTAGACCACCACGGCGGGGCTTTATGAATGCTATCAACATAGTCCTAATGGGCATAAACCTTGTCAAGAAGGAGGGAGGGGAGAATAAAAGCGATGATGAAAGGAAGACAGGGAGCTTAACTAGGTCTAAACCCGGTTGGCTACCGTGGGCTATAGGGACGAGGAGAAAAATGTAGGGAAAAAAATACCCCACCTCCCCGATGGGAATCGTGAGGAAATGCGGATGCATTG